CTGAGTATGCAGACTGGGGCACTGATAAAGCTAACACCGCGCTGTTAAAGTAACGTATGATTGAATCCTGCAATAAGTGCGTCAGAGGCAGAGATCTTTGTTAAAGTGCTCTCCATCAGCTCCCAAAGGAAACAGAAGACCCTGCATGTCTTCGATGCTGTCCCCCCACCTCTGTGTCGGTGGACGGGTTTCCTGTTTGAGCGTCCTCTCAGAGGTGTGGCTGCTTACCAATTCCAGCTGGATCCTCAGCTGCGAGTGAGTGATTAGCTCTTCATCGTCTAATCACTCACCTGGACCACACAAGGATGAGCTCAGCACACAGTCAGGCTCCTATTGTGACCTCTGTCATTGCCTTTGAATCTCGTTTTGCCAAACACAAACGCGTCTCAGGTTCTCAGAAACCCTCCCACCTGCTCGCATCCCGTCACACTGTAGAGTCGTCGACGACGACAGCCACAGCAAAATGTTTTACTTTGTAATTTCAAAGATGTTAGTGTCAGCGATCTGCATTCAACAGCTCTGGCTTAGGTAACAAAGAAATCAAGAAGAAATCCTACAGCACGATCCAAACGCCACCTGAATTAAACTCACCTGCATTAGGAGACAAAGCGGCCACTGCAACAAAACTTCTGGAAGGAGCGATGGTTTGGCCACGCCCCTATGAAACTAATGGATTTACCTGACTCATAGAGCCTGCAGCCGTTGCTCACCTGTTATGAGGACAAACTGCTGACTGTGGAGACCTGAGTGAAGCGTCACAGAGGCTCGACTGAAGGTTTCTACAGGTAAAGGACATCAACCACATCCTCTGCGCCACCTCCCTGCAGACCTACACTCGCTTGTTGCGCAGTGTTGCTCCTCAGGTAACAGCCTTCTTTCCAGGCTCTTGTTGCCCAGAGTGTCTTTGATTTGGCAGCAGTGTCGTTTTCCACACGAACGAGTGTTTTTGATCCACTTGAACTCCTTTTATCAACAGTGGAAATTCTCTTGTCTAACTTTAACATTTAACAAATGAAATCTTGTCCTTTTAGGTTAAAATGTTGTTTAAAAAGTTTATTTGGCTCCAGATTTCACCTCCTGTCCATCACTCCTGGATACTTTTTCTCGCTGGTTTACATCTTTGTGGAGGATTCTTAACCACCAGCATAAGGAGCCTAAAACACCTCATCTAGGAAAAGCTACTTGAACCCCAAAGAAGGAAAAGGAGTGCTCCAGAGTCACCTGACCCCTGACCCCTGACCCCGCTGAAAATTTATGGGTGCCCGAGCAAACTGATGAAGCTAAACATGTGTTATATGACAACAAGCTCTGGAAACGCGTTACATTAGGTCACCTAAAGAAATGATTGGTAGGAGACTCGGTCAGTGGGTAACATCATCAGTTTGCTTTCAGGGCATATAGATAAAAACAAGACACATCATTTAGTAAAAGAAAAATATATATTTATTATAATTTTATACAACTGTCAAGATCTCCACATTTCTTACTATAATAAAGTAGAATAGAATAGAATAGAATAGAATCACAGCCCTCATCTCAGAGATGCAAGAAAAACAGAGGCATGATCTGCAGTTTGTAACAAACATATTCCAGAAAATAAACTTGAACAAAGCTCTACGATGAAGTGCTGCTGCAAATGCCAAAAGATCCACGCTAAGCCTCCCACGCACTGATTTCTTCCACGTGTTGCTGCGCTTGCATAAAGTGGGATACACACAGTCGACACTGAAAACTGCACATCTGACACAACAAGTGCATTTCCAAACCATTAGAAACATCAGTGACGTGTCTGCGCTCAGCTTTAGCCCAAATAACACCGTAAAAATAAAAATTCATCAAGCTGGCCGAGGAGCAGGAGACACATTTAGAGTAACTGCAGTTTTTCACATTTCATCCGCTTAACAGCTCAAATGATTGTTTTCATTTTCATGTCAGTGTCACAAAACACAGAAACACTCTCACTGCAAACTGCAAACTGTGACCTTCCAGAAACTAGTACTCCGGGTGGTGACTTTCATATTTGTTGCACAGACTGGCTTTGTAATGTAAAAATAAAAATAATGATAATGTCATCTGTTATTAACAGACAGCTGGCAGCCATGGAGAGCTGCAGAGGCTGAGAGGGGAAACTTCCACATTTTGGTCTAAACCAATCAGCTGTGAGATCAGCTGGTGCTTTGTGTAATGCCCTGAAGCTGTCAGATCCTGCAGAACCTGCAGCTGCACACAGTGTTCATCTAAAGCACTGCGCAGCCTCAATGCAGCAAAGAAGCATATTTGAACCCAAACCACAATCTCAGCTGAACCTCTCAGAAAGTCATTTTTGCTTAAACTGAAAGTAAGAAGTGGCTTAAAATCACTTACTCCTCTGCCGTCCCTGAACAGCTCTTCAAAATAAGGACGTCCGGCACTAGAATTATTAGTTGGTTCAACCCACTCTTCTCCTGTGCTGGGAAACTGCACCCATGTGAGGCAGACAACAGCCCCACGAGCATCCTGCAGGACTTTATTCTGACACACTGCCGCTCATTTCCTCAAACTGAAATATCAGAGAGCGATGCACTAAAACACTCGGCTCAGCTGTGTGGACATCAAACCAGATTTAACTGTTCCAAGTGTTTTCTTGCTTTTTGATGAGTCACTTAGGTTCAGGTTTACTCAGCTCATCATTAGTTGCAGGAGCGGCCCTACGTTCAAAGACACGCTGAGACCGAAGGACACCCTGCACATGCTTCTGTAGCACTAGCATCGTCTGACATTAGGGCTGCCACGATTAGTCGACTAGTCACGATTAGTCGACTATCAAAATCGTCGACGACTGATTTAATAGTCGACGCGTCGTTTGAAGCTTTGTAAGATC